CATGATCTTTTCTGTATTGAGGTATATTAGATCACAGGCAAACTTTTATTTTGTTGACACACTATTGCCAAAACACAGGTGGTTCCTTTAGAACTAAGAGAATTAATGATTGATGTTGTTAATATTTCTGGGCTAAGACATATGTGTGATGTTCATAATCAAGTTTATTTAATACTGGTCCAAGGGAGACTTCATATCATGGACAACTATGGTATTTGGTTTACAATTATAGGATTTTTGTCGCACAGGAGGTTTAAATAGAAAATACCAATACCAATTTTGAAGGGCCACCCAAGTTCGCCACAGACCCCACAGCTCTCATCTTTACTCAGCTAACTTTCCCATCTGGCTCTTAGATGCAATATAACTGAATGGTTAGACATGGACTCTGAGAGCAGATTACCTGAGATTAAATTTCTACTCTATCACTTACTAGATGTGAGATTTTGTAAAATTTACTCAGATTCTCCAGAAGGATAAGTTTTTCCATCTTTAAAATGAGAATCATAACCATGCCTACCTAGCAGTTAAAAAAAAAAAAAGATTTATTTGTTTGAGAAAAAAAGAGTGGGGGTTGCATAGGGGCAGAGGGAGAGAGAGAGGGAATGTCAAGCAGACTCCGTGTGAGCATTGAACCCAGTGTGGGGCTCAGTCTCATGACCCTGAGATTATGACCTGAGCTGAAATCGAGAGTTGGATACTTAACTGACTGAGCCACCCATGTGCCTCTACCTAGTGCTTTTTGATGAAGTTCAAATATATTTAAAATTCTTAAGTACCTTAGAACTATGTTCAATAAGTAGTAGCTACTATTTAAGTGGTGACTTTTTAATATTCAAGTTGGGGACCCAAGAGAGTGAGGTGTTTAAAGCAAATTTGGGATGATTTTGTATGATTACCTTCTATTTGTTCAATTTACATCAGAGATCCTTTTCATTTCAACTGTTCTAAGCATTCTGATGAAAATTTGTAAATCATACCTCTGTAGTCAATTTTTTTTTCACAGAGCATCTGATTTTTAGTATTCATGTTGATCTTGTAGTGCCCTGATTTTTGTTTTCTTTTCCCCCCAACTGGTATATTTCATAGTTACTGTCCAGGTTCTGTTGCCACCGTTCTTATCAAACAGTCTGTGTCAGTTTTATGGTTCACTTCTATATTTAGAGTCGGGTGGTATGGTTCTCTGGTTAATGGAAACTGCAAAAATGAGATGTATTGATACTGATTTACTTACATGTTTCCATGCTTTCTCCCCCTCCCCCGAAATTTAAGGCTAATTTAACTATTTGATTGGGCTGTACAAGGAATCAGATGCATTGTGGAGATGAACAAAAAGTGATCTAATGATTCCTTATGAATCATATCTCAGCTTTCAGTTTCTGGGTACAGGTTTTGTTCCAAAGACATTGGTAGACAGCTTGCCTGGCTGCAGGAAACTTGAAACTTTCTTTCAGTCTCCTCCCACCCTCATTCCCTAGGAAGTGCCCCCGCATGTCCCTCCTGTTATTCTTGAGAATCACTGGAGACCACAAAGTGTCACTGAGCTCTGCAGAGGAGTCAGCTCTTACTTGGATATTCTTGTCTCCCTATCAATTTGTTCCTGCTGTGGTCAGGGTTTTCTCTCATTCCCTAAGTTTGTTGTATGGTGTCTACTAATTGCATTTTTTTCTTTTTTCCTTTCTTATTGGTAAGCTGCAGTAAGTCAGTCAGTTACTGATGTGAATAGTTGCTGTCAGTATCCCAGAAGACCATAGAGAAAAAGGGCAAAGTTTTCTGGCTCCATCTGCTGGAGAGAGTCTGTACTGCTTGTTTTTGTTACTAGATAAAGTTGTCTGAGATAAGCTAGAAAAGTTCCTAGATACAGCTGGACATTTTTCAGGAATTTGGCCTAAAGATAAAACTACTGTTAGCAGCATTGTGAGGGACTGAGTAGAGGGAAATTCTGGATTTTCAGCATTGCAAAATGTCTTTTATTAAAGTTGAGGGCATCAATTGGGAAAGACTGGGATCTTGAAAACAGGAATGGGGACATACGGAAAGATTCTAATCAAGCAAGCTAGGGACATGGAACCCTAAATTCTATTGAGTTTTTTCTTTTTTCTCTCTTTTTTTTTCTAATTAATGTAGTCATTTCACCCATCCGAAGAGGTTAACCTTGCTTTGCTTGAAGCACCTGTAATGCCCTCCCTTAAGTAGATGGATTCTAGGTCAAGTGAACAGAAGTCTAACCTGAATTCTATAAATAAGAGATCATGTCCCTTCAGTCAATTTCCTGACTTGAAACATTGTACAGGCCCAGAACTCTTTAATTAAAACTGGGAGGCAAGCTTTTGAGAAAAACTCTATGAAACAAGAAAACAAATTATATAGTTCATTTTTCCCCATTCTTCCCCAAAAGGATCTATGACCATTAACATGAATGACTATGCATTAAGGAAAGGGAAATAATTAGACTTTTGAGGAGTTGCTGGGCAGTGGCTCTGAATGGACACTAATTTCAGGAGACCCAAACCGTCATTGTATTATACTGATCAGAGTGGGGGCATAAGGAGTTCAAATGATGAATGAAGTTGTGGCTTAGGTCTGCTCATAGGTCGGCCTATTTTCCTCATCCATCAGAGACTTCTTTCTAGGAAGACCCCTTAGCTAAGCCCGTAGATGTCAGCAGCTTCTATCTCCTGAAGACTATAATCCAAGAACTCCTGGAGATATATATATATATATATATATATATACACATATATATACATATATATATATATATATATATATATATACACATATATATACACACACACACACACACATATATGTGTGTGTATATATAAAAATACATACATATATATATATGTATATATATATATAGGAATGGATTTCCAAATTTGAGTGAAGAAAGAAAGTAAGGGATCATTCCCAAAATATCTGAGGCAAGATTAGCAAACGAATTATTCTGGGACCACCAAAGAATCACTTGCTAGACTCCACCCTAGAATCACATGAGTGGAAAACACCCCACCCCATGCCCTTTAGTGAAAGAATGTGAACCAGAATACCTGCAGTGTCATCAGCAGTGTCTGAATTCCAAGACCTTTGTAGACCACTTGCAGCATAAAGTGTTAGGTATTTTTTTAAATTTTTATTTGTTTATTTAGAGAGGGCAGGTGCAGAGGGAGAAGCATACTCCTGCTGAGCAGGGAGCCCGATGTGCGGCTTGATCCCAGGACCTCAGGATCATGAACTGAGCTTCTTAATAGACTGAGCCACCTAGGCGTCCCAAATGTTAGGTATTTTTGTGTCTATCCCTTGTACAAAGCAAGGCCTTGGTGATTATTGTGCCTTGAAATATTTTGTGTTTTCAAGTAGTTTAGTCTGAAAATCAGGCAAGTACATATTCTTATAGTTTTATAATCACTATTGTGCTCATATAATAAAACTTTTTTTTGCTGGGATGCAGTGCCAACATACCACAATACAAAAGTTTTACCCATCAGTTTATATAACTGTCCAACTCAACATACACAAGTTAGTTTGTTGTTGTTATGATATGATGTGCAAGAAAACGTGTAAGTTTGTGATCACCATAAAGAGGGGAACATAAACATCACAAATAAAGTTTGTCTCTGAAGCATTTAACCGTTCACATAAACTTCCTTGGCATTTGTACGATTCTCTTTCAATATCAGTCTCCCATGCAGAATAATTCTTCAGTTTTACCTGGCACAGAATGACTTACCAATTGATTCTCCATTGTCAGAGTCTCTGTTTCTTTTCCAGCCTGTCTCCCCAGCCACACATCAGTATTTTACTTCTGCGATCGCTTAGAGAAAACTTAATATACTAATATACTTAATATACTAAATTGTCTTTTGAGGATTTATTATGTGCTCGACAATTTAAAAGACACTAGAAATACAAAAACAGATATGGAAACCTTATGTAATTTACAGTCAGGTGAGGGTGGAGGGTGGAGAACATTAATCAAATATTCACTCAAAGATTGATATATGTAAGACCAAAAATGTGGTAAGTATTGGGGAAAGGTCTATAATGTTGGGATATTCGACCTTGTTATGGAACTCAAGAAAGGGTTCTTAAAAATTCAGCTTATATACAAAGGATGTTTGAGAGTTCACCCAATGGAGAAGAGAGAAAAGAGAATTCAAGATATAGGGAAAATGTCTGTAATGCAGTCTGGTGAAATTCTGTATGAGTTCTTGAAATTTTGTCTAATGTGGCTGTGGTGTTGGGAGTTTGGGTAAGTTTTGTGTAGACAGACACTGACTAAGTAAGCAAGGATGAGACCTAACGAGGGATTTCTAAGCTGTGTTACAGAGTTTGGTCTTATATCAAGAAAGATGTGAAGTGTTTTTCAAAAGAAAGTGTGAACTGTCAGTATATGTATTTTTTAAGTATCACCTAGGTTGCATGACAGAGAGTAACTGAAACGGGTTAGGAGTAGAATAGGAAGACCCTGTTACGGCAGTTATTTAACATTTTAATTCTTTGTTATTAAGATTGTGAAAACGGTGAAGAGAAGAGGTCAGATTTGAGAGATATTAGTAAAAAAAACAGGTGACAAGACTTGGTTTTGTGAGAAGTAGAGTGGAGAGCAGCCCGGAAGTGTGGGCCAGAGAGAAAGTGGTAACGAGACAGCCAGTTTATAGGTTGTGTAATTTCTTATATGTTGTGCCATTGATTGAGAGGCTAAGTACTGGAGGGTTTTTCCTTTTGTGAGGAAAGTTAATGAATTATTTTTATATATTGAATTTGAAATGCCTTTGAGATTTTAGATTTGATAGGTTAAATAAGCACTAGGGTGATCAGGGAAAGACTGGGCCAGAGATGTAAATTTGAGAGGAATTGCTCTGTACGTCATGGTCATTAAAGTTGGAAGAATGTAAGGATATTGTAGAGGCAAGATGTAGAGAATACCGAAGTTCCAAAAATACAGGCAAAGAGAGTCATTGGTCATTGATTATGCAGATGAAAAATATAAAATATATTCATTCTATCTACTCAGTTTCTATGACATTTCATTTCCTCTATTAGCCTTCCTACATCTCTGAGAAATAGTACTATACCCACACGAATGAACAAATGTGTGTGTGTGTGTGCGTGTGCACACAGATAGAGCCCTCTGGACTCTGATATGGTCTGACATCAAACTTCATGTGGTGTCATGTGTCTTTTAGTCAGAGAAATGGAGACTGATTTTCTGCAGTGCGGATTAGAGTTGACAAATCCACTGGTCATTTTGCTCACAGTTTTGGTTGGTAACCTTCCTACGAGACACCTGGGCACATTTCATGCTCCGGGTTATCCGTTTTTCTTCTATTGGAAACCTATAAAGAAAGAAAATGCTTATCTTTACATCAGTATGTGTCCAGAGACTCAAGAAAGCTTCAGAAAATACTTTCTAATTTTTAAAATAAAAATATGATCATGAAAACAACGTAAACAATACATAGTATGATGGGTAAAGTAATTCTTCCCACCCTCAGTTTCATTTCTCAAGAGAAGTTAATAGCTAACGATGGTTAGTCAGAGATGTGTATGGATGTTGCCAAAAGGGCACCTCTGGTTTGCTTATTTAGAAATTATTGAAATGAGCATAAATTTATATTTTGTAAACTAAACTTGTGCTCTTATAAGAGATTTTACACTTTTCCATTTACCTCTTGAATAAGGTGATAAAATAAAAAGGCACCATTGGCAAGCCCTATTTCACACCTAAATCTTCTGAGTGGGTCGAGCGAGATTTCTTTTGTTTCTCAACTTTCCAACTAGACCATTTTATACATGTATTTATCAGGTCATGAGTCAGGAAATTTATACCTGTTTCTAACAACATCAGACGACTCTTTCTTGTCACACAATATGGGATTCGGACTGCAAGAAAGCTAAAAAACAATAAACTCACAAATGGGAGTCAAAAGGTTTGTTGTCTACCCATGTCCATGACTGCCCTCCAGGTGTAATAGATAGGCCAATCCAGTAAAACACTGAGGTATTGAGGTACCGCCACAGGAAACTCTAAAGAGAATCGGAAATGTTACATGAAACAACTGACTGATCCTTACAGATACAAAAAACTATATATCTCTAGCGAAGCTCCTATGTGTTTGGCCCTGTGCTAGAAGCAGGAAAGGGGCAGGTAAGACATATCTCACATTTTTCTTTTTTTTTTTTTTAAATTTTATTTATTTGAGGGAGAAAATGAGTTGAGGGGAGAGGCAGAAGGAGAGGGAGAAACGGGGCTGGATCTCAGGACCCTGGGATCATGACCTAGCTGAAGTCAGACACTTAACCGACTGAGCCACCCAGGTGCGCCTACTTCACATTTTTCTAACAGATCAGAGCAGAGGGACAAACTACTGCCATGCCATGTGGCAACAATAAGGTGGAATTATGTATGGTTGCAGGAGATACTAAGGCTGTGAGGTCAAACTTCCAAATTCGTGTCCCGTCTCTACTGTTTACTACCATGCATCTCTGCAGTTATTAAATTTTTTACTTGTTTTCCCCAATCTCTGCAACTCAGATTATTATAGTACCTATCTCAAAGAGCTACCATTGTTTTGCTATTAAATAATATTATGATATACTGCCTGGCACATAATAAATTCTCATTACATAAATGTTAGTGGTTATTGTTAAGTATGAGTATGAAATAATATATAGAAGGAGGGGAATATACAGGAAAAATTAAAGAAAGCAAGCAATGTCTGAGCTGGTGTGAGACATACTGTTCATAGTTTCTGAATATCTCTTATTCTTTTTTTTAACATTCTTTTTTTTTAAGATTTTATTTATTTATTTGACAGACAGAGATCACAAGTAGGTAGAGAGGCAGGCAGAGAGAGAGGAGGAAGCAGGCTCCTCACTGAGCAGAGCCCGATGCGGGGCTCGATCCCAGGACTCTGGGATTGTGACCCGAGCTGAAGGAAGAGGCTTTAACCCACTAAGCCACCCAGGCGCCCCATGAATATCTCTTATTCTATAGGAATATAACCCCTGAGCCATATATATGGCCAGATTAATGAAGGCTATATTTCTAAGGCTCCCTTTTGGCTTAGTGTGACAATGTGACTGACCTAATTTCTGGCTAGTGAATTAGCCAGATACTGAAATTCTAATCGCACATTTAAAAGCTAGGGCTATATCCTTCCATTTGTCATTTTCTTCTTTTCTGATGGCTAGCACATGGATATGTTGTAAATCAACCGGAAATAGGTAGACACAGAGAGCACTCTACTGTTGAGCCCAGAAATCCATAGCTGTACGGACTACAATGTGGTTGACATGACCTATTGCATATATGAATAGACAGATTTCCCTCCTATTTTAACACTTTGAAATTGGAAACATCAGTCTATAGCTTGTAGCAGTTTAATTGGGAGCTTTGTTTTTGCTTTTTAATCGTGTTAATGCTTTTAAGTGTACTAATGTTACCTCTTAATAATTAAAAGTGTTTTAGATTCAATAAACAAAGTACACCACTACCTTGTTTAAGCTCCAGTGATTTTGGTTCTCCCCCACCTGTAGCCAAACTCATATGCCAAATGTCATAACTGTTTGTAGGAACATAAATAGTCATTGGCATACATGAGAGGGAATAGTGTTTTTCCATTGAATTATCTTTGCACTATGGCCAAAAAATCAGTTGACTAAATTTTGGTAGGCCTGTTTCTAGTGTCTCTGTTCAGTTTACTGATCTACATATCTCTCTTCTGCCAATTCTATACTATATTAATTAATTTTGCTTTATAGTAAGACTTGCATTTAGTAATGTACATTTTCCATTCTTCTGCTTGCTTTGGGTCTAGTTTTCTCTTTTTCTAGCCTTTTCTTTTTAAAAGAGAAGTTTAGATGATTGATTCTACATTATCTTCTTCTCAAATGTAAATACTCAATGTTATAAATTTCCTTCTAAGCTCTTTCTTAAGCTGAAACGTGTGACTTTTGATGTTAAAATGTTGTTCTCATTCAATTCATCATATAATTTAAAAATTTTCCTCTGATCACTACTTCTTTGACCCATACATTATTTAGAAGTGTATTGTTTAATTTTCAAATATTTGGGAATTTTCCAAATACTACTCCATTCCTAACTTCCAGTTTAATTTTGTTATGGTCTGACACGTGTTTTGGATAATATCTGTATTTGTAATTTTTTAACGTTTACTGGGTCTCCAAATATGGTCTGTCTTCTTGAAAGTTCTAGGTGTATTGAAAAAAAAGTGCAACCTGCTTTTATTGGATATAGTTTTCTATAAGATTAATTAGGTCAAGGATGTTGGCAGGGATGCCGAGAAAGGGAACCCTCCTATGCTGTTGGTGGGAATGCAAGCTGGTGCAGCCACTCTGGAAAACATCATGGATGTTCCTCAAAAAGTTGAAAATAGAGCTACCCTATAACCCAGCAATTGCACTACTGGGTGTTTACCCTAAAGATACAAATGTAGTTATCCGAAGGGGCACGTGCACCTGAATATTTATAGGAACAATGTCTACAATAGCCAAACTATGGAAAGAACCTAGATGTCCATCAACAGATGAATGGACAAAAAAGATGTGGTGTATATATACAACGGAATGCTATGGAGCCTTCAAAAGAAATGAAATCTTGCCATTTGCAACAACATGGATGGAACTAGAGGGTATTATGCTAAGTGAAATAAGTCAATCAGAGAAAGACAATTATCATGTGATCTCTGACATGAGGAATTTGAGAAGCAAGGCAGGGGGTCATGGAGGGAAAGGAGGGAAAAAATGAAACAAGATGGGACTGGGGAGGGAGATAAACCATAAGAGACTCTTAATCTCAGGAAACAAACAGCATTGCCGGGGGAGGGGGGTAGGAAAAGCGTGGTTGGGTTATGGACATTGGAGAGGGTAAGTGCTATGGTGAGTGCCATAAAATGTGTAAACCCAATGATTCACAGACCTGTACTCCTGGGGCAAATAATACATTATATGTTAATAAAAATAATTTTTAAAAAGATTAATTAGGTTGAATTGGTTGAAAGCATTGTTCAGGTTATTTATTTATTTATTTATTTATTTATGAGACTTGTTTTTTCAGTTACTCAAAGAGGAGTGTTGACAACTCCAACTGTAATTGTGTATTTCTCCATTTCCTTTTTTAGTTCTATCAGTGTTAACCTTGCTGCATATACATATATAATTGACCCCTGCTATGAGATTCAGGGGACAGAGCGGGGTAATATTATGGACTGAATTGTGTCTCTCTAAAATTCGTATGTTGCAGTCTTAACCCCAGTACCTCAAAATATGACTACATTTGAAGTCACAGCCTTTAACGAGGTCATGAAGCTAAAGTAGGGCTATTAGACTGGGTCTTAATTAAGTCTGATTGGTGGCCTTATATGAAAAATTTGAACACACAGACGCAGATGCACATACACAGAGGAAAGACCATGTGAGGACACAGTAGAAAGGTGGCCAGCTGAAAGCCAAGGAGAGAGTCATCATGAGAAATGAAACCTGCCAATATCTTGATCTTGGACTTGCAACCTTCAGAACCTGGAGAAATTAATCTTTCTTGCCTAAGTCATTAAATTTGTAGTACTCTGTTATGGCAGCCCTGGCAAACTCATACAACCCCTTTATCATTGTGCAATAGTTCTCCTTGTTCTTGGGAGGGTCTTGTTTCTTCTTCTTCTTCCTCCTTCTCCACCTCTTCTTCTTCTTCTCCTTCTCCTCCCCCTCCCCCCTTACCCTCCTCCTTCCTCTTTTTATACCTCGTATTTGATTGTTGAAAGCTGTCTAGCATGTGGCGACTGAGTTAAATAGTTTTGTGGATAGAAATGAACACAGAGTTCCTTCTCCTGTGTCTTCAATGTGGGGTTTAAGTTTATCATTACGGGGGTGAGTGTGCGAATTATTGCTATCCTCAATGTGCCACAGGTTTCCAATTCCTGTAATGTCTCATGTTTTCCTGGTTTTTGTTTGTTTGTTTGCCAGAGAAATGTCTGCTTGACCGGAGCATTTCAGTTTCCCTTTGCACCATGCCTCAGAGAAGATCTCTCTGCATGTTCTTCTTCCTCCCCTGCCCCTCTCCCAGCAGAGTTCTTCTCTACTTCCTGTTTGAAATCTGTTAGCTTGACAGTTAGAGGCAGTAGACGCAGTGGTCTTGTTTGTTCTGATTATGCCTCAGTCTTAGGCAGTCACTCATCCCTGTGTCTTCTCTATGTGGCTTTCTCCCTTTTGCCACCCCTACCCTGCCTGTAACTGTGATCCCATCCAGTATTCTCGCCCCTCCCCATCCTCTTTCGCACGTGCAACGGTGTTTTGCACCAGTTCCTCAAGGGCACTTGTCCTTCTCACCAACACATGCATGAAAGCTGTTGTTCCATAGTGCACAGGGCAGACTGGGGACAAGGATCTTGGCGGAATTCCTTGCCACTTCAAGATTGCTGTTTTCTTCTCCTGAGTCTGAACCGCGAAGGACACATTCTTATGGTTCTTTCTAATCTTGAGAACCAGTGGCATTTACAGAAAAAAATAGCCTTCACGGGGTTGTAGAATCCCCCAGTTTCTGCCAAGCCCAGGAGCTTTATTCACATTGTTTTTGCCCACTCGCACTCAGACTTAACTCATTTTTCAATTACTCTGACAGAACTCCCCTTTCTGATGTCTGGTGTCTGATTTGTGTGTTCCAAGTAAGTGAGGACATGTCTTCTCTCCCACAGGTACCTGTTTCAGCAGAGATTTTGGCTCTGCAAACTTAACTTTCCAATGAATTTGAAACAAGCTGGCAATTTAAAGTTAATCGACTCTTTCTCATTTAAAAATTGTAGTAACATTTCAAGATCTTTGCATCATTCGTGAAAGCTATAAACCTCCTTTCTTTTCCTGTTTTTTTTTTTTTTTTGTTTAACTATCTCTTTTTCTCACTCTCTTCTTCTTACTCCCTTTCCCCCCCTCTTTCTACTTTTCTTTCTTTTTTCTTTTTTTTGCCATATGATGGCACAAGGGAATTCTAGATGGACTAATAATTCTCTTTGTTTCATTTTATTCTTCACTTATTTGAGAGCTAGAAAAGTATTTGCTAGAAAATTATTTTCTGGTTTTTGGAGGAATTATTTTTTTCTAATATATATATATATATATACGTATATATATATATGTATAATTTATTTATTTCTATTTCTTTTCAGTGTAACAGAATTCATTGTTTTTGCACCACACCCAGTTCTCCATGCAATATGTGCCCTCTTTAATACCCACCACCTGGCTCCCCCAACCTCCCATCCCCGCCCCTTCAAGACCCTCAGGTTGTTTTTCAGAGTCCATAGTCTCTCATGGTTCACCGCCTCTTCCAGTTTCCCTCAACTCCCTTTTCCTCTCCATCTCCCTATGTCCTCCATGTTATTTGTTATGCTCCACAAATAAGTGAAACCATATGATAATTGACTCTCTCTGCTTGACTTATGTCACTCAGCATAATCTCTTCCAGTCCCGTCCATGTTGCTACAAAAGTTGGGTATTCATCCTTTCTGATGGAGGCATAATACCCCATAGTGTATATGGACCACATCTTCCTTATCCATTCGTCCGTTGAAGGGCATCTTGGTTCTTTCCACAGTTTGGCGACCGTGGCCATTGCTGCTATAAACATTGGGGTACAGATGGCCCTTCTTTTCACTACATCTGTATCTTTAGGGTAAATATCCAGTAGTGCAATTGCAGGGTCATAAGGAAGCTCTATTTTTAATTTCTTAAGGAATCTCCACACTGTTCTCCAAAGTGGCTGCACCAACTTGCATTCCCACCAACTCTAATACATGTCTTTTTTGGAAAAGAAATATGTGTGCATAAATCCTATGCTGATTCCATTCAGATTCTTTATTTATCCATGAAAGAGAACAATTATATCTGGCCCATTAATTTGCTTAGGAATAATATGAGAGAGGTAATCTGAACAGGAACAAGAAAATTTCTAAACAAACTGAGGGTTGCTGAAGGGGAGTTGGGTGGGGAGATAGGGTAACTGGATGATGGACATTAAGGAGGGCACATGATGTAATGAGCACTTGGTGTTATACACAGTTGGTGAATTACTAAATTCTATCCCTGAAACTAATAATATACTGTATGTTAACTAAATTGAATTTAAATAAAAAATTTAAAAAAAAGTTGTCTCAGTTTACTGGTCTCCCTAGTCTGGTTAATCTATTGCCTAGAAGACATGTCTTTTCTGCATTTCAGCATCCTTCCCTTTGATGGTGAGCAGGAAATAGATGAGTTTCTGAGTGAAATCTTTTGTTGCATAATTTCTCCATGAAATGATTTATTATTTATCCCTTTCTGAGCATTCTCACGAAATGCTTTCCAGTTGATATCTGCTTCCCCTTTTTTGTCTTAAAATTACCTCTTGGAGAAGAAAATGGATCTCTTTTCAGCTCTTAATCTATCCTGAATTTGGCTCATATTTGAATCAATTTGAACTGCATCTGACAGACAGTCTGACATTTTGAGATTTGGGGTTACTCTGGTTACAGCGAGACGATAGTTTACTTCTGCTCTTGTTTTTCTTGTTGTGGTGGAGACTTTTTTTTCTCAAACTCAGGAGACTTTTTTTTCTCTTCAGAAGTTTCAACAGCTGTGCTATCCACCCCAGATGGCTATGACTCAACCAGGAGTAGTACAGCACTGCTGGTCACTGGATTTTCAGAACCAGAAGCTTTGACATAACTTGTTATGCCAATATACTAATCCTCATGCTGATTATCCTTATTTGATGCTTGCTAATTAACATCTACATTGGCCTTATTAATTAAAGGTTTTGTGTTTGACATTCATGCAATAGAACTCCCATTTAAATTAAACCAGAGTTAACGAAGTATTCTGCTCAAGGGAGAATGAAATGTTAGTGACGACTATTCTATATTTCCTTTCTCTCAGTTATCATCTTAATTTTAGCTGCCATGATATCTGACTGCAGCCTTTGGGAACATTGCAATAAACATGAGAGATGAGGTAAGATACTTACTGTCTTATATTTTAAAATGGAATCTAGTTAGCAGTGGGGATCTCTTGTGGAGGAGAACTTAGGTGTACAGTACCAAATGAATTCCTTCATTCCATAGCCCCCCCCAAAAAAAGCCAAAAATAATCCTGTAGTTCAATGACTCATTCAAACAGTATTTGCGTAGTTAATAGCAATGAAGTTTAGAATTTATTTCATAGAAATTTTCAAATATGTGGGATGCCTGGGTGACTCAGTAGATTAAGCGTCTGCCTTTGGCTCAAGTCATGATCCTAGGTTCCTGGATCGAATGCTGCCTTGGGTTCCCTGGTCAGGAGGGAGCCTGCTTCTCCCTCTGTGTGCTCTGCCTGCCACTTCCCCTGCTTGGGCTCTCTCTGACACATAAATAAATAAATAATCTTCAAAAAAATAAATTTTCAAATATGTAGCCCAATGACTGCCTTGAAAATGTGAAAGATGCTATAATCTCTAAGTTTGATATCTCACCATATCAATGAAGTCTTGAATCACCAGGAGATGTGAATTTTTCATGGCACAGTCATTTTTGCTTTCATCCCAAGATTTCTTATCTTCAGCAATCCAGTAACATTTCCCTCCATGTAGCTTCCAGTCTTCAGAGGGGCATGATTTGTGAACAGTGGAGAAATTGAAAGAAACTAGAAGGAACAAGGATAAGTAATTAAAAGAAACTCAGAACCGTATCCCTAATATCATATACTGATGAAGTTAAGTGTCTGCCCTGGGTCAGGTCATGATCCCAGGGTCCTGGAATCTAATCCTGCATTGGGCTCCTTGCTCAGTGGGGAAGATGCTTCTCCCTCTGCCTGCTGCTCCCCCTGCTTTTGCTTTCTTTCTCTCTGACAAATAAAGAAATAAGACCTTTAAAAAAAAGTAAGAAAAAAAAAGAAATTGAAGTCTTAGAACTAGAGGAAGGAGAAAATAAAGGGAAAAAACGATAATAGCTAAAATTTCTCTAACGCATTTAAATTTATAAATTTATACTTTCAAGAAACTCATCAAGCCCTAAGCAGGATAAATATGAGGAAAATCATATGTAAAAATAAAACAAACTGCTTAAACCAAAGATAGAGGAAAATCTTGAAAGCAGAGAAAAACTATGTGCCGTTTACAAGAATACAACTATTTAAAAAGAAAAAAATCCCTCATTCTCATCATGCATTGAGGGGGACGGAACATAGTGAAAAATATCTTCAAATTTTTGAAGGGAACTAAGAAACAGACTCTTAACTAGAGAGAGCAAACTGAGGGGAGGTGGATGGGGAACGAGTGACGTAGGAGATGGGGATTAAGAAGGGGGCTTGCTGTGATAAGCACTGGGTGCTGTATGGGACTATTGAATCACTGTATTGCATACCCAAAACTAATATTACACTGTACATCGACTAACTGGAATTTAAATAAGAACCTTAAAAATTGTTTAAGGGAAAAAATCAACAAAATATTTCACATCCAATGAAAATATCTTTCTAAAAGCATGGCAAATTTAAGACAATTTCAGATAAAAGAAAACTAAAAGGATCCATTATCAAATAGTCACTACAATGAATATCAGAGGAAATTCTTCAGACTGATGGGAAATGTTTCTAACTGGAAACTTTCGTATTGGGGAGAGGACAACATCAGAAATGGCAAGCATATAGGTAAAAATAAAAGTAGAAGGTGAACAATGTATATTCAAAGGATCCTTGCTCTTGCTTTCAATATTAAGTCCCCACACTTGTCTCAGTTGTACAGTTTTTCTTTAGACTGATATAATACACCAAATCCAAACCTTTCCAGGTAATAATGCCAAATATATGCTGTGATTATAGTTAATATAGCAACCATGCAACTGGGACTTTTAAGAACATATTTAATAAGAAACTACTATATTTTCACTTTTATATTTCTGATAGTAGATAATTTGACTAGATAGTATGAAGCAGGGTTTCCCAACCATTTTTTAAAAAATATTTAATTTATTTATTTGATAGAGATCACAAGTAGGCAGAGAGGCAGGCAGAGAGAGAGGAATGGAAGCAGGCTCCCTGTTGAGCAGAGATCTCGATATGGGACTCGATCCCAGGACCCCAAGAGCATGACCTGAGCTGAACGCAGAGGCTTAACTCACTGAGCCACCCAGGTGCCCCAATATATACCTTTTTTAAAGGTATATATATTATTTTTTAAAAAAGAGAAAACTGTGATCATTGAAATTAGATTCCATGAATGAGTCCATTGCTTGAACACAGGAAGAGAGGGACTTTGTAAGCTGCAGGATACACCTGGAAACATTGCCTTCAGCACAAATCGACAAGGAAGACAAAAATGGGATGGTAAGTGAAATGGGGGAGCATAAGCCTATTGTACATCTAAATTCTAGATTTAGATTCTAGAAAGAAAATAGAGAGAAGGTTAACAAAGCATTAGAAATGATGGCTAAATAGATCAATTAAGTTTTACTTCACATATTTTAAAAGTTTTATTGTTTTTCTTTCCTGATGAATTGATCTAAGACTCTAGGAGCGGTGGCTTACACATTTATAAGAATAGGATGAGGATTAGAAAACAGGTTTGGAGGGCCTGGGTGACTCAGTTGGTTAAGTGTGCATTTGGCTCAGGTCAGGATCCCAGGGTGCTGGGTAGAGTCCTGCATCAAGTTCCTTGCTCAGTGGGGAGCCTGCTTTTCTCTCTGCCTGCCACTCCCCATGCTTGTGCTCTCTCCCTCTGTGACAAATAAAGAATAAAATCTTAAAAAAAAAAAAAAGAAAACAGGTTTGACAGAATTTAAAGCTAGAGCTTTATTTAATACCACTGCTACTGCCTCTGTATTGGTAATAGTATACTGCAGTGCTTTTTCTCTGGGGATAACATCTCATAAAATTTGCCCTCAGAGTCACACAAGTTAAAAAAAGAAGAAGAACATATGGTGTATCAGATAGTTTTTAGAATGTGGTGAAGGGGACTTGGAAATATCAAAGTCCAATTTAATGTTTTAACGCATTCCCAGAATTTGTATGTACACGACATTATGGACTAGTAGGTCTTTCTAATAGAATTATACCTGGATGTTCAAAAAAAGAATGATATATAGTTTTTCAATATGGAGTTAAGAATTAAATTAACCAATTTTTTAAATACCCTCCCCAATGTCCATCTCCCAGTCACCCTATCCCTACACCCCCAACCCCAGCAACTCTCAGTTTGTTTCCTGAGATTAAGAGTCTCTTATGGTTTGTCTCCCTTCCCAGTCCCATCTTGTTTCACTTTTTCACTCCCTTCTCCCCGCGACCCCCCTGCCCTGCCTCTCAAATTCCTCATATCAGAGAGATCATATGACCGTTGTCTTTCTCTGATTGACTTTAAGAAATTTAAAGATGTAATAAAACCACTGGGAAAAAATGCAGAAAGCCTGAATAATTGTTTTCTTGACGTTTAAAAAGTGTGCAGATATGAAAGAGCAAGAGAAAGATTAACATAACATTACCATTTACAATAATTTTGCATGTAATAACATTACCTAGTAAAAAAAATGATATGTCATGAACTTTAAGAATGAAAATAGGGGTGCCTGGGTGTCTCAGTCGTTAAGTGTCTGCCTTTGGCTCAGGTCATGATCCCAGGGTCCTGGAATGGAGCCCCTCATTGGGCTCCCTGCTCAGCGGGAGACTGCTTCTCCCTCTCCCACTCCCCCTGCTTGTGTTCCCTCTCTCGCTGTTTCTCTCTCTGTCAAATAAACAAATAAAATCTTTTAAAAAATAAGAATGAAAATATTTTGACAACATTCTGCACTTGTGTATGTCCCAACTGAAATAAAAATGATAAAATACAATCATTTCCATGAAATACATTTTCATTAATCTAGAACTCTTTATAAGCTCATTTTCCTCATTTGTCTTGGATCCTTGAACATTTTTGTCATAGACTATAACGGATCCATAAAAAACAATGACCTTAACCATCCCTCTATAGGGTAGAGGAATCTCTCTTTTCAAATATATTCTGGTAAAACCGATGTTACTGTCCATGTCTCTGGAATTAGACAACATAAAATTATGTTACCTGTTGAGGTGATTGTTCCAGATTTATTTTCACCAGTACAGAATTTCTCTTTTGATTCATTTTCCACTGCATTATGTCTTGCATATTTCAACTGGATAACTGATGAAAGAAGAAACATATTTTCCTAATTAAATACAAAGCATAAAACTATTGGGTTCTAGTGACTCTCTAAAGTTCAGTAATGTAGAAATTCTATTGTAAGTTAAATAATTAAAAACTTAAGGAGACAAACAATACTATTTTTCTAAGGCTTGATCTTTTCTTTGCATTCTTATTACTTTTATTAACATATTAATAAAATATGATCTGGGAGAGGAGGGCTAGTCACCTAATTTTTTTCTTGGAGTTTTCATATTTATTTTAATGAACACAAAATAACCAGCTGTGGTCATAAGCTTCATTTGTATAGTTTGGGTTTAGTGAGATATTGTTAAATTATGTCCAGTGTCACCTGATTCAGAGGGAAGATTTTATATGTTTTGGTTTGGTTCATAATTCTGGTTCTTTCAGGATTTTGCATGTAAATGCTGCATAGAGAAGGGTAGGGCGAGCCCAGAGTAATTTTTTTCCAATGAGGAAGGTATCTTTTTTTTTTTTTTTTGAGGGCCATTTAACAGAGCTTACTTTTGGTAACTTCTAATTTCATAATATTGTGTATTATGCAATTAAATCTTTAAAATCTATTTTAGTAATGAATCTATTAGTAACAAAAATATTTTATTAAAAAACTGCTATGCTAGTAACAAACAAATCTATTAACATAGCAAAAAACATAAAGAAGAGATTTTATTTTTGCTTCCCTCTGCCCTAATTTTACAACTGCAATTAGCTGTAAAATTAAAGCTTTTATTAAAGCTGTAAAATTAAATAGCTTTCTGGGGCTTAAGGTTTATATGCATTGGCCTGTTCTAGGATTTCATCTGAAAGCCTGAATTCCTTGGAATATATATAATCTGTATATTACCTTTGTTCTATAGATATATGTGAATAACTTTTCTCCAAACATTTATTCAATAATTAAAATATTTGCTATCTGAATATTGAATTATGCTCTTACGTCCAAAGTACATGAGTACAATTTTTAAATACTCAAGTTAGTTGATTAATTGTAGGCAGATTTCTCACTTATTGATACATGATTGATAGTGGCCAGGAGTAGCTAATATGAATAAACTTATATAGAAATATACTACATAATTTAATTTCCTTTCATCTGAATGTAGTTTTAGAGAAGCTTGTGTATAACTCACTATCAACCTGCATTGTGTGATTTCATCACAAAATATAAACATATTCTTGACTTCTCTTTCCTTTATCAGTGAAATGAATCCATAATGACATCACATGCTGAAGGTCTATGAAAAAATCTCTAATTTTAATTTTTTCAAATTTCATATGTTCTGTGAAGTTGTCCTGTATTGTTCAGGAAACACTTGAACAGCAAACACAATTACAACAGGTCATTAAAGAAAAATACTTTAGGATAAATGAATAATCTTGATTAATTACTTACTCAAAATGCTCAGCACAACTACTGTTACAAATAGGGTGATGATCATTGCACATCCAACTTTCAGGAAAATTCCATGGTGGTGAGAATCTACAATATTGGATAGATTGGACAGATAGAATGTAATCGTTAAGACCAGCAGTTAAATCCTTATATAATTAGAGGTAAGAGGGAGCTAAATAAACTTTCTTGGTTATCAAGCTTCTAAGTTAATTTCCTTTGAAATACATAGACCCAGCTTCTTTTTGCTCATGTTCACACACACAGAGAACATATTTGGCTTTCCGGTTTGTGAAGAGGAGACTTATAAAACTGAATGGATATGAGTTTTTCTTTGTGGGTTCATCATACATGTTTCACAGCATTAATCTTACAGTGATCTGCTCTCTGCAGTCCTTTGTTTTTATATAAGACTGAGACCCTCCAGATTCTCTTGTAAGTTTGTTGACAACACCCACCTATTTGGATTAATCCATTCTTTTCTCTCTTATGTAATATGCCTACTTTACATAGTGATACATAACAGTAATTTCATACATTTCACTCATTTTTATTTTAAAATAAAAGTACTTTTATGGATTACCTTGTCCAATGTCTACATATTTATGTGGATATTCAAGTCCACAATTACAGTTATTTGAAAAGAGAGCTGAGATCAAGCCTCGGCTCTCTTGACTACCCAAACAGTGGCTGGTTTGCTGTCCATACTACCTCATTGTCTTTGGAGTACTCAAAAGATAAAAATAAATCAGGAAAAGAAGCAAGAATTATTAGCTTTGGCCGATGGTTAAACCAACAATCTCTAATCCAAAATAACTGCAGTATATCAATGCCACTAGATACATGACATATGCAAACATATATACAATACATTGAGAAAGTAATGAAATAACTGATGTTGAAATATAACCAATTATAAAGTCAAGCATCAAGACCGATTAACCTGAATTCTTATCTATTACTACAGAGAACTTTGCTCTATGTTCAAATGACTACTGTTGTTGAATAAAACATCTTTCATGGAAGTTTATTAATTCTCAGAGCATAAAATATCCATGTATTTTCATGTATCATGTAAAACAATGCAAACTGTGCCCATCTAGGCAATTGCAAGAAGAAGGGGATTGTATCCCTACATATGTTTTTAATATAAACAGCTAGGTGTGTGGACCTAAAAACTTACAGAATAAAATTTCAGATTTCATTAGAACACTGACATAAGGATTATTAGGTCACTTTTTCAGGCCCCAAAGTAAGATTTATGAAAAGCACGAATTTCTCAGTGTTTGCCTGGGATATTCCCAGTGGAATCATACTTTCTCACTAGTAATCTGCTCAATTTTATCATGACAGTCTCTTTGTTTTATCTTAAAGAACAAATGAATATGAAGATTAAGAGAATAGGGAAAGGGTCTCAGCACATGTGAGGCTCTGAAGTGGTAAGGCATGTGTAACTTCAAGGAGGAAAGAGGACAACAGCCAGAGCAAAATAAGTAAAACATAGGGAGTTAGAAGAGGAAAACTAAGGCCATGTCATATCATATGTAGGGCTCTGTAGAACATGACAATTCAGTGTATCAAATAATTCTTTCCATTTACAATGATATGACACATGAGAACAGAAGTTTTATTTATCCTATCCTAGGGATATGCAGTGAAGTAATAAAATATTTGGCTTCTGGTCACAAGCACCATTGTGAGTAGGTAACTTAATCTTTATATATTCAGGTGTTCTCTTTTTAATATTAGCAGACTGGACCAGATAGCATTAAAAATGTTATCTCCAAATCTCTAAACCAGGAAGGAAGTAAAGTTCTATCTGTAAACAAAAAGGAAATCAAACCCTGGAATGCAGAATTGAAAATACTAGTTTTGTTCCTTGAACTGAGCTAAAATAACTTCTAGGAAATTAGACTAATAGTATGAGAGTTTTTCTGGGTGGAAGAATAAGAAGGCAACTATAGTCCACATTATTTTTAAAATTAAGTTCTATCTTGTCATTGAAAATGAGAGCACCCAGACTAGGGAAAAAAGAAAGCGGATAAGCTTTTATTGGACAAGGTCAGAGAGGTAATGTTTAAAAATAAGGAATAATATGTGTTCGCAATCAGAGAAAACCACACCTCAGATTTATTTGGTAACAGCAAATTAAAAAATATAAAAGAAGAAATACATTATTTGGAAATATAGTAAAGCAAAACATTATATTCATTACACAGTACAAATGCAATGAGACTCAAATTATGTAAACATTTTATATAAACTTTATAATATAACAAATTCTTACCCTAGAGAAAAGAACAGAAATGCAACACGAAAGTTTCCCTAATACTTTAGAGGATGAAAAAACGCACTGAATATGAAAATCTACCACCCTTTGCGGTGGCTTGTGTTTAAGGTACAATGTTATCCTTAGTTATGTACCTTTCTCTTCGTATTCCACAAATATTCTATTACTCAGAGTCTCATTAATTCTAAACTTCATGAAATAAAATACCAGCATTTCATGTCATCTTAGTTTAGTTTAACACTGTTATCCTAACATTATGCAAATTTCAAAAAGATAATTAACAATGTGAATTATAGCCAAGTACTTTTTTCCTTTGTTTAAGAGAATTTATATTATAGTCAAAGGACAGATTTAATCAGAGGTACATGAAACTGTAAAGAAAGGGGGTCATAAATATAGAAGTCACTGTATAAATGTTCACTGTAAGAAATAAAAAGAATAGAAAGACTATGAAAATCAAAAGCAAAGTTCAACTCATCCCCCTGCTCACCCTCCTTTCAGGAACCCTCAGTTTGTTCCATGCGGTTAAGAGTCTGTTTTTTGGTTTGCCTCTCTGTTTTTTTCTTCCTATATTCATTTGTTTAGTCTTTTAAATTCCATATATGGGTGAAATCATATGGTATTTGTCTTTCTCTGAATGACTTATTTCATTTAGCATAATACTCTCTAGCTGCATCCACAGTGTTATATGTAAATGATGAATCACTAAATTCTATACCTGAAACTAATATTACACTGTAGGTTAACTAACTGGAATTAAAAAAAAAACTTGAAAAAGAAAAGAAAAAAATAAAATTACAATTAATTTTGTCTGATTAAAAACATTCACTCTTATTCTTTTTTATTTTTATTTTTATTATTTTATTTTATTTATTTTAGTTTTCTTACACTTATTTTATTTTTTAAATTATTAACATATAATGTATTATTTGCCCCTGCGGTACATGTCTGTGAATCATCAGGCTTACACATTTTACAGCACTCACCATAGCACATACCCTCCCCAATGTCCATCACCTAGTCACTCTTATTCTTGCATTCAACCAACTTTTCTTGGAATCCAGCCTGCTAACTATTTAAGACATATACAAATGCAGGATAGAAATAAAGGAGATTAAAAGTAAAATGTTAATTTTAAAAGGACCCCTAAAGCCAACTTACCAGATTTCTGAAGTGAGGATGAATTTTCTAAAGAAAAAGTCCTATCAATTTTAATATCAGCATAGACTATATCTCCAGCCATTGCACATTTAAAAAGAGAGAGAAGACCAAAAATGACATTCTACTGAAGGGAGTCTCATAGTTCTGCAAATAAACTTCCGGTAAGTCAAATAAATCGAGAAGGACAATTTTCTTCTGCTCTCTCAAATTTGGTGGATTTCCTCTATGAATATAGGACAAAAACAATGTGTTCAGTCTTACCAATCAAGGAATAGATTTTTGAACACTTCATGATATGGAAGAAAACTACTATTCTTATATCAGTTTTCTTGCTCTACAGTTAGTTTTCTAAGTTTGGAATAATTCTAACACCACAGAAGATATCATACCCTTTTTGCCCCTTCTATAAACCACTTCCTCTTTTAGTTCAGACATATATTCTCTGGCAGAAGCTCTGATCTTTCAACATTTTCTCCAACATGGAATAGCAATTTGGAAGGAGGATAAAGAAAAAGATTTTATTATGGAGGTGATAGAAATAATTGATAGACTTCTCATCTTGCAAGACATTGCATTTACCTAGCTAATACTTTTTTTTTTTTTTAACACCTAGGTAAAAATTCCCTTAAACGTCCTATTCTCTCATGTGCTTTATAATATTAGCATCAAACTGAGTTAAAGCATGGATTCTGCAGAAAATTTCCAAACTGGAAAATTATGTTTAAGAGGCAGAAATAAACTCTCAGTCAAAATAACTCAAGGTTGTGTCATAAAAAAAAGTAAATCTTATGTTTAAAAAAGGTTCATAGAATTTTCCTTTTGAGCACAATATAGAAAACATAGATTTTAATCTCCTGGTTCTTCTAAACCTCCATTAAAATTATATTAAAAGAATAAAAATGTAAAAGCCTCAAACAATAATGAAAAAGAAGTGAGTTCTGGTAGCTAAGGAAAAAAAATCAGCTAATTTCTGAAAGATAGAGATATAATCATGGATGAAACAAAGCAGAAGGAAGTGAAGTCTAGAATAAGCAGAGGGAAATACCTGAGGAGGGACCAACCACCTGCGAAACCCTCATAAGACTCAGAGCTCAGAAATATCACATATGAAAAATGACAGGAGGCATTAGTAGAACCATTAGATTAGTTGGAATTCTGTGCATGAAAGAGTTGATTCCCTCAACACTCATCCAAATACATTGCGTAGTATTATTTAAAATGTAATCATCCTCATTACCTTGGATCCAAGGAATTTTATCTATGTTAATCAAATAGCTGGAGAACAGAACTTGGTTTTCTGGCATTGAGGGTTCCCTCAGTATAATGGCTAAACCACAAGGCTTCTGACATGGAGTGACTATGGGAGGACCTCTGTCTCTCAAGATGGCTGAGACACTCTCTCTTTCCTGGGTTGTCTCACACTTTATATGTTGATCTGTATTTTTTACATGAAAAACTGACTTTGAGAGGTTATATGCAAATAGTTGCATGAACAGTACATTTTCAGAGTGAGGATTTGAACTCCTATCAAACAGTCCAAAGCCCACACTGTGATGTGATAATGCTTTCTAGATTTTGAGAGTGAGAATCACATTTTATTATTCTTATTTGTTATAGTCATCACTCAATCTATGCCTGAAACACAACAGATACTTGATAATTGTATGTTGGGTTACCAAAACAGTTAATGTTATGTTGAATTTTATTACTGTACTCTTAACATTTTTCCAGAATGAGAGCAATGATTTTTGACTAAAAAGTAGACTTCTATTCATATGAAAAATACTGTTGAGAGTTTAATCATATAAAATTAAAAAAAAATACTAGCATGTAGAGAATCTACTATAAGTTAGGTAATAAATCCTTGGGATATCCACATTTAATATTAATAATCTCTGTCTCCTCTCTATGTCCAAAGTAAGTAACCAAAGAATGAGTTATGAAGTAATCTCTAACTTTGTTGAGATTTAACTTTGATTGAGCGTCATGATTCTTGTAGGTAGGGCTCCTTCAGCCAGAAAGACCATTTTATAGACAGTCAACATATGGGTTAGTTAAATAGTGGGATATTAAAAATAGTGGTGGCTTGCAATGTGTGTCATTACATCATAGAAATAAAATATGTCCAGAAACAAGGTAGAACTGTTCAGCTAAGTACCCTAGATTCATCTAATATTCATCAGATGTATATGACAGCTTAAAATGATATTCTCAAATTTGGTGACAACTATCCCAGTCTATAACTTTTTATATATTGAGTTCAATTTTAAATATTGAGTTCAGTTAAGCATTAGTGATTAAAATATGTGGTGTTGGGGTCCCTGGGTGGCTCTGCCTTCAGCTCAGGTCATGATCCCAGGGTCGTGGGATCGGGCCTGCATTGGACTCTCTGCTCAGCAGGGAGCCTGCTTCCTCCTCTCTCTCTCTGCCTACTTGTGATCTCTGTCTGTCAAATAAATAAATAAAACACTTTAAAATATGTGGTGTTATCATTATTGATGGATACCAGATCTAACTAATTAAATAGTATGCATTTGAAATGTGTCTTATCCCTAATTTTAATCATTTTATTAATCGTGTTTCTATGCATGGATTCCAAGTGGAATCTTCAATCTTGGCATATTTTCTGGAGTAAAAGTTCTAAATTCCAACTGCCTTCCAATACTTCAGACTCAAAATAATCAAAAGTAATCCAACTTCTCCTCTCCTTCCACTGTGTCACCCCTTTCTTTCAGTTGCCTCATTACCTTTGCAGAAACTCAGGCTTAATATCCCTCCTTTGTATACCTCCCTCCTGTCATATTCCAAAATGTATGTGTGGCTGAGTGATGGACAGTAGCATGTAATAATTTATTCACTTGAGATGGAGTCCTTTTCAATTTAGAGGAGCATTTGATTGAGAACAGGCTCAGAGAAAGATAATGCCATGTGGGGTGAGGAAGGAAAATACAGAGAATGATTAAAGGCTTACCAATCATGTAAGTAAACTCTTTCTGTAATGGTAAGCATGTGAAGTAGAAAAATGTACTTCTTTGTATACTTTTGAAGGGAAAAAAGTTTTATTTTGCAGATTGGCTAGACCTTGGGTAGTGGGAAAGAATTATTAGTCCTGTGATATATTTGTATCCATTTGTGTGTGTGTGTGTGTGTGTGTGTGCGCTTCCGTGTGTATGTATGTATGTGCATAGAGATTTTTAAGATTAATGATATGTGATATCTCTATCTATCTACCCAGATATAAACACTTTATAAAGTGTGTGAAAATTTTAAAAAATTTTTAAAATTTTTTCATTTGAAAGAGAGAGAAAGATAGCACAAGCAGGGGTAGGGGCAGGGGGAGAGGGAGAAGTAGACTCCTCACTGAGCCAGGAGGCTGACTTGGGGCTCAATCTCAGGACCCTGAGATCATGACCTGAGACAAAGGCAGATGTGTAACCATCTGAGCCACTCAGGTACCCCAGCTGTAAGAAATATTCAATTTTATATGGAAATGATATTGTTTGCCTTTTTTCGGTAATGTATAACTCTCTTAATTATCTAATTATCCTGGATTAGTTGTTTTCAACCTTGACTGGACATTGAAATCTTTTGGAGATCATTAGAAAAAGGACGTGGGGAAACAGGAACACTTTCGCGCTGTTGGTGGGAATATAAATTTGTGCAAAACAGTTCCTCAAGGAATTAAAAATGAAAATGCCCTATGATTCAGTAATTTGGTATTTACAAAAAGAAAACAAAAACAGTAATCTGAAAAGATATATGCACCCCTATGCTTATTGCAGCATTATTTATAATAGCCAAGATCTGGAAGCAGCCTGTGTCCATCGATAGATGAAGGGATAAAGAAGATACGCCATTTCCATCAACATGGATAGACCTAATGAGCATTACACTAAGTGAAATAAGAAAGAAAAAGAAAGACAAGTAGCATGCGATTTCACTTATATGTGGAATCTAAAGGACAAAACAAAAAGATGAAAAACAGAAACATACCTGTAAGTACAGAGAACAAACTTTTATTGCCAGAGGGAAGGGGGTTGTGGGATAAACAAAATGGGTGAAAGAGAATGAAAGATACAGGCTTCCAGTTATGGAATGAGTAAGTCCCAGGGATGAAAGGCACATTATAGGGAATGTAGTATTGTAATAGTGTTGTATGGTGACAGATGGTGGCTACACTTGTGGTGATCACAGCATAATGCTTAGACTTGTCAAATTACTGTTGTATACCCGAAATGTAGCAGTGTGTGTTACTTATGCTCCAATAAAAGATAAATTGAAATAAAAATAAGTTTAAAGATAAATAACAATAAATAAAGTTATTGCCCCAAAAAAGCCTTCAGTCAATCCCACTCCTATCAGTAAAGTGAGAAATAAAAGACAAGAAAGAAAAAAGAATAAATATATCATAGGGATGTAATGCCTAGAGTGGTGATTATAGTGATAACACTGTATTGTATATTTAAAAGTGGCTAAAATAGTTAATCTGAAAAGTTTTCCTCACAAGAAAAATAATTTCTGGTACTATGTATGGTAATAATGTTAACTAGACTATTGTGACAATGGTTTTCCAAGATATATACAAATACTGAGGGACGCCTGGGTGGCTCAGGTGGTTAAGCCGCTGCCTTCCACTCAGGTCATGATCTCAGGATCCTGGGATTGAGTCCCACATTGGGCTCCTTCATGGCAGGGAGCCTGCTTCTCTCGCTGCTTCTGCCTGCCACTCTGCCTGCTTGCATGTACTCTCTCTTTCCCTGACAAATAAATAAATAAAATCTTAAAACAAACAAACAAACAAAAAAAACAAATACTGAATCATTCTGTTGGGCACCTGAAACTACTATGTCAATGACACGTTGTTTTAAGAGAAAAAAAAATGATGTGTGGACTTTACATGAAGAATTTCAATTTTCATTTGGGTTGTGTCCTGAACATTAGAATTATAAAAATTTCCTTTATATGTGATTCCAAGGTTGAAAACTGTCAAACTCTCACTTGTGAGTTTGGAGTGAGGTATAGATTTTGCAAAAAAAAGAAGAAAAAAATCAGACAGCTGTGACAGAAGCAGAAATAGCAGCACCACTGACAAAGAAGAGACCAGGATCCTATACACCAAAGTACCCATGAAAACAAGGTTAGTAACTTTCCCAAACTGGCGAAATGTTTTAGTAATAGACACCAAACCCAAGGAGAACATGTGACTCTCCTAAGTTAGCTTTGATTTCTTTTTCAAAACAGAGCCCATGACTCAGTGCGAACTAACTGAAATGCATCCATGGATTGCTTTTGATCCGTGGG